GGGGATGCAGACGAGCGGCCATGGGCCACCCTAGGAAACTGCGGATTGGGGCCAAGGCTGCCCCGTGCCTCTGCCCCAATCCTCCCTTTCACCGCCTGGGAATAGTGCTCCTTCCACAAGCCGCAAAAGGAGCTCTGCAAGAGCCGCCATGCAGCTCTTCGGCGTCTCTTCCGGCTCAGCGTGTCCAGACGCTGAACCAGAAGGATGTCATCGGAGCGCCTATCATGTAGAAGGGCTGGCGCTCTAATGACATCCTCAGGAAGGGGATGGGGTGCCCAGCGTCCAGCTGCCCCTTCCCTTCCTTGCCTCCCAGACCATGCAAAGCACCGTCTGCAAAGGGGGATAGTCTCCTTAGATTTCTCAGCTAGAGAGCTGTAATGATTTAAGACTGAGCCCCAATCTTGGGGAAGAGTTGGTAATAAATAGAGGAGGAGGAGGAGGATTCATCAAACTACTTATAATACTTAACAATAGACTTAAGCCCCATTTATTGAATTATATCTACTTTGAGTTTGACTAAGCTCCCTTTCACACTACATACTCATGGCACTGCGATTTCACTTTAACTCCCATAATTTCATTCTGTGGAATCTTGGGATCTTCAGTTTAGGGAGAGATACCGTACTTAGAATTGTCATCCAGAGAGGTCTAGTGCTTCACCAGACTACAAACCCCAGGATTCCATAGGATGCAGCCATGGCAGTTGTGTAGTATGAAAGGGACCTTAGTGACCAATATCCCTGTCTGGAGGCCAGCCTACCCTCCTGTAGAAGCTCACAGTCAAGGAGTTGCCATGAAGAAGGTCTTCATCAAACCTACCTGTGGGGATGGTAAGACTCCGCTTTCTCCTGGAGATCTCAAAGCTCAGGTAGACTAATTTTGAGATACAGTCTTTCAAATCATCTCAATCAATGCTGTAAAGGGTTGCCAGGTTAGATATAAGATTCTGCAAATTTAATCCTGAACAAGAGGAGGGACCCTAAAATGAGTCTCCTAAGCCCCGGGGGCCTCTTATGTCAACTAAAATAGACTAGATGGCCAGTTCCTGTTGCTAAATCATAGAGAGCCAATGCTAGAACCAAGTTTGACCCCTAGAAGATATAGTTGGTCCTCTTAGGGTCAGAAAAATGGAGGTTGTCAACCCTAAGGGTTCAAGTGAAGGCCCCCAGGAGACGCAGGTGATCCCCAGTCCACACTTTGCCTTTTCATAGTATTAAGCAAAACAGGCAATTTGGATCACTATTTAGGATCAGATGTGATCATCAACAGAACTGCCCTGAATAGTGATGTTTTAACTGGCAGTAACTAAGCCTTAGCAGAGGCATTTCCAGCTGTTAGAATGGGAAGAAAAACATACCAAGCTGTGATATCATCAGATGATGGTGGCTGCACTGCAGAATTCATGCAGTTTGACACTGCTTTAACTGCCATGGCTCAATGCTATGGAATTCTGTGTTTTGTGTGGTGCCAAACTGCATGATTTCTGCAGTGCAGATGCAGCCAGTGTCTCATGAAAGTGGGGCAGCACTCTGAGAAACTCCCTTGAGTCAAACTGGGCCCTCAGTGTAGGCCAGGGCTCAAGGTTTCTATCTGGACTTACAGTTGGGTTGAGCATTATTTCTTACTTACATGGGCTTTTTCTATGTAAGAATTTGTAGGGAGAGAAACACCCATAATCTTTTAACAAATCTTGAGAGATACAGTGGATTGGCTAACAGCTCACAATCCTGTATCCTCTGTCTTCTGTTGCACTAAGATGTTCCCCTGTGATTTATAGGTGAGTGTACTAACCTAGGGTTGGCAGGTTGAAAAATGAAAAGGGCTCCTATACCTTTAATGGTTGTATAGAAGAGGGAATTTCAGCAGGTATGGCTTGGTATCTATTTACAGAGATGTATTCGTCTTTAAGGGCCATTGCAGACCGGCCCAAAGGGCTGGCCTGGGGGTAGAGTTGGGGTGGTGCAGCCACACGCTGGCTGCCTCAACCCCATCCCGATGCCATCCTGACACCATGCGGCTGTACGCACAGCACGTGGCGTCAGGATGCCCTTCCGGCGCAGTGTGCAGACACGCTGCGCCAAAAGAGCGCGGAAGAGCTGTGCCGCCGACTCTTAGGGTGGCCTTTGCCACCCCTAAAAAGAGCGGCATTTTGCTGCTCTATTAGGGGCCGCAAAAGGAAGGATTTGGGCGTGGCATGGGGTTGCCATGGCCCCGATCCGCCGCTCCCTGGGGCAGCTCTCTGCCACCCCAAACGGGCCACCTGTATTGGTCCTAAGCCTCAATTTGAGTCTCAGGTTCTTGCAAGATACTTTCAAGTCGAGTCTTAAGTCTGGAAGCCAACTTTACTCGGGAAAAAAGGAGATGCTGGGGAACAACTTTCAATAAATAGAAAATCAAGATATTTTTTACATGCGCAATTAGGTAAAAAAAGAATAAATTATTATAGGAAATTTATCAAGATTGCATTTTATTTCCATGTCGAGTCATTCAAGCAATGTGAGTCCGAGTCAGTCGACCCGAGTCGACATCACTGCGTGGTTGTGTTACAACAAGCTATAACAAGCTACCATTAAAGGTAAAAGAGCCCTCCTGCTTTCAATTTGGCAAACCTATAAATGACCTGAGGGTCAGAAATTATTGCAGTTATGGCGATCTGTGTTGCTTTCGTTGTTACCGTTTGATGTCAGGATATAGAGCTCACAGATTTGCACAGGAGGAGACAACACCTGTGGAAGAAAATGGAAGCAGGGCCATTGAGGAGAGAAAAAATGTGCATTTATTTGTTTCAGTTATAGACATTTAGCCTTGGTAAAAAAAAAGAGTGGGGAAGCTGGATTTTGCAGAAGGATTTGAAGGAGGCGTTCTGGGAAGCACTTGCTGTTTCTCTTTATACCCAAGCCAAAGCCCATTCGTAATTGGCCCAGCTGGATTTAAGAAACATTAAATTTTCTGGCAAATGCTGGGATGGGAGTTTTAGCCCACCTGGGGAGTCTAATTAAGGCGCAACAACTGCCGTTTGGGGCTTCTCGGAGGAATTAATTGACTGCTGCAATTTCTGCAGCCAAAGAGGAAGGGTCTCTAATCATTGTCTTATGGTCAAGCATTTCAATATTCAGCCGATCAGCAAAGCTATATGAGGTGCATCATTCCAAATCTAGAGTCGGGAGGGGAGCCATTGGACAAGACACTCTCAGTGGTGGACCTGTTTAACCTATAAGAGAAAAATACACAAACCAAGATTCCTTATCTCACATACCAAATGCTATTGTGATAGCATTTTTTTTATGTGATGAGCTTTTCATTGACTACCCTTGCAAATGCCTAGCATTATTAGCAGCTTCTGAAGTCATCCCTGTTTCAAATTCTTCTCCTAATAACAAGCTTTAAACTTATGGCCAGTTTCTTTTCCTTTTCTCTTCCTCCTCCCCCCGCGCTTTTAATTAGCACATCTTATTAAACAAGAGAACTTTGCTCAAAACTTCTTGGCAAGTTAGCTCATCTGGATAGTGATTTATATTCCATGCACCTCATTTCCACAATGGAACACGAGGAAGCATAATTGGGGCTCCCAAGTGGGTTGCTATCCAAACAGTGACCAAAAAAGGCCAACAACAAGCCAGCATAATTTCAGCAAGGTTGCCATTTCGTACACCATCAAGTTGCACCATGTGTTAGGGTAGGACTGGGGAATATGTGGCTTTTCTGATGTTGTTGGATTGCAGCTCCCATCAACCCAAACCAACATAGCCTATGCTAAGCATACTGGGAGTTACAATGCAGAAACGTCTGGGGAGGGGTACATTTTCCCACCTCAGCACTAGAACCATGTTGAAATCCACATCCCCAACACCATCTTATAAAACCTATATATATTGAGATTTTAATGACATAACAAGTAGACATATTCAGAAAGCAAGAGGAGGTTATTCTTCTGGTTTTAGATATCAAATGGGACGGCTAAAGTTGTTGTTTTTTTCCTGTGGCACTAGCAGTGCCATGGAAGGCTTTGTGCAGAACAGAAATTTTTATTTATTTTATTTATTGACCAATGCCGCCATATCATGTTTGTATAATTGTATAATGTTGTTGACCAT